GAACTGTCCGTTTTGTCCGATAATTACATAACAAAACCAAACCTTGAATTGTAAAAGTTCCTTAATTCCCGTATAGCAAAAACAAGTTGCTAAAATATAAAGAGCCATATGGTACCGCGTGTATAATACTCAAGGCAGAAACATCAATGTTTCCGTTGTATGTGTTGAAAGTAATTTATAAAAACATCTGTCTGTTCAAATAAGTACAACTTGCTCGCACTATGGAATAGCTAAATAAAAATACTTAAATGCTTTAAATTTGTATATAAGAATAACTAAGCAGAAATCATTGATTAAGCTTTCCCTGTTGTTCTGATAAGCAAAGGTAAATTGTATCTAGAATTATTTAAATTTCTAATTCTCGAGCGAAGGACTATTTTTCCATACGCGGCAGGATATCCGCTTAGAAAATAGAGAACATGTTAAAGCGTATTTTAATAGCATCGAGGCCATCACAATCAAGATCGAAATACTTTGTTTTCGAATTTCATAGATTTTTAGAAAATAAATATCCACGCAAAAGACAAAAAAGGTTTAAAGAAAGTGGGTTTTTTAAAACAATATTCAAATATCGCCGTTACATGTTGTCCTGATCAGCATGGTACAGAAAATCCATTTTTGTTTTTCATAAACATGAAATAGACATGTAAGATAGACTTTGAAGATTCTACAGGTTATATTTTTGCTTAAGTATAAACACGTGGACTGTAAGAAAGAATTTGAACAGGATACAAATGCTAAGACAACTATCTTACAACACTGCCCATATTCGTACCTGTTAGACATATAATTTATATCGTGTAAAGTGTTTGTCTCAGGAAACTGAAAAACTGTCGCCAAGAGCATTCTTTCCAACACGTATTGAATTAACAGATTAATCATAAAAGAAGCTTAAAAGTTCATATATTGTACTTTCATTAAGTTTAATTCAGTTTCTCAATGTAAACAATAGTAATGATATCAATTAACTACAGTATGTTACAAAGTATTAGAAAGTAATCTGGTAGACAAGCTTCGAGCATATAGCCTTACACCCTTCAACATGAAATTGTCATATTAGTTATCCAATGTAGTTATATCTCTTTTACCCTGAAAATCATTATAGCTTCAAAACAATGCGCCAACTTCCCAGTATTTATTCACTATTATTTCTTACCAGCCTGAGGAAGTTTTCCGTCACTGTTATACTAGTATTGGCTTATAAGACAATAAGAATTACACAACAATTGGTTTCTGCCCCGTTATAAATGTCTTTACTGTATAGCTCCTCGGAACGACAGTAATGTAACATTTGTTTATTCCATTATTAGTATAAATAATAAAATAATGAGCGGCAACACCTTTTTATAGTTTTTAGCTTAATTTTTATTCAATATATCTAAATATAGGTTCTCAACACTTTCTCAAAATTCAAGTTTTTTCATCATTGTTTGGACAACTGAAATATGCTTGTATTATGGTACGTTTTCCAGGGAATTGTAATAAGCACTGGTTCTCATCTAATATGTAAATGTTTCCCCTTCTTAACAAGTATAGTTGTAAGAACCTTGTAAGGTTATGTGTTAGCTCCAGTTAAACTTGGAACCCTGTCGTATTTTGGTTAAATTTTCATCATCATCAAGTGTCGTGCTTTGTAGCGTAGGCGATCGTGTCCCTCCACTTTTCCCGGTCCCAGACACTTGTGATTACATCAATCACCTTCTCGTTGTGTAGCCAAATTGTTAAACTGTCCAGGATCTTCTCTCGCTGTCTACCTCTACTTTTAACTCCTATTAAACTTGGAACGTGTTAATGTTTTGGTTATTTTTAACTCCTATTAAACTTTGAACTTGTTAGTTTTGGCTTTCTGTTAACTCGAGTTAAACTTCGAACGTGTTCTTTTTTTGGTTGTCTGTTAACTCCTATTAAACTTGGAACCTGTTCATGTTTGGTTATTTGTTAACTCTGGTTAAACTTTTTAATCTGTTCGTGTTTTAGTTATTTGTTAACGCTGTTTAAACTTTAAACCTGTTAGTGTTTTGATTATCTCTTAACTCCGATTAATCATGAAACCTGTTCGTAAATTGCTTACTGAAGTAAATAAGCGAGAAAGTCCAACAAGTAAACAAATAACAAATCGTATGAGAATGACGTTTGGTCGTCTCCTTCATAAACGTTGTTTATCACTTGCTGTAAGAGCAAGGCTTCTGAACTTTGACTTCTGACATTTGTGATCTTCAAGTACATGATAAACAAACTTGTTATCGAGTTAGAGCTTATGATTACCAACTTTTACAATTTTCATCTGTTGCATTTTGTATTTCAAGCGTTAAACGTTTATGTGACTCTAAATATCATTTACTCACAGTAGTTAACAGAATGTACTTCAGAGTTTTACGTGGGAGGTGGGGAGGGGACAACAGTAAACGACCCCATCAGCTGTGCAAATTATATAGTCAGAAACCATAGAATATTCACTTGAAAGGTTTTTCATCCTAGTATTCTAATCAGTTCAGTTAAAGCTTACTTCTAAAACATTGTTTTGAAATCTAACAGTGTTTACATCTAACGTTCAGGTTATAACTGCGAAACGTTTTCTACCGGATTTAACTGCATCGTAACGGATAAGATCTATAGGTTTTTTAGATTAATTTGCATTAAAAACAACAAGAATTAGCTTTATTGGAAAGGTTATTCGTATGAGTTTGTTTGTCCGCTCGTTTCAGAATTTCACAAAAAGATACACAATGGTAATCTATGCTAGCCGTCTGTAGTTTTGGACTGATCAAGTATAGGGAAAGCAGCTAGCTAATCAACAACACATACCGATAGCTCTTGGGCTATTATTGTATGACCATATTGTAGGATTTGGCCATCAATCTTACAGCCACAGTCCTAATGTGCGGAGTGCGATTTTGTCAGCAACGGGACGTGAGCTATGGATCCTCGCATTCATATTTAGGCCATTACCGATCCTTATTCGAGATAGAAAATAGTTCATTGATTCAAATATAGATCTTGAACAAAACATGAAAAGAAGTGAATGCGAGATGAGCATCTCGAAACGGAACCGATTACGATTTCTTAAAATATATATTCTCTTTTTACTCTAAAGCGAAGTCAGTTGTGTTGAACTCTACTCGATGGTTAGGTTCGTAGCCTATACGATCACCTAGGTTTAATTATTAATTAGCTAATAATTTTAATTACTACAATTACCAATTAGTTTATACACCACGTTTCGGCCGCTACTCTGCTGTCGTCTACTCGTTCATAGTTTTTACCGTAAGAACATTAATTGTACCGTTTGAATATCTAAAAAAAAATATACACGAAAATCTTATTAATCTGTGAAAAAAAGCATGCATTTGAAAATATCTAAGAATTTAAAAATGTGTATTTCTGTAAGATTGGACTGGGTCAGTTTAGATGTATATGCTATATATACATATTGCTAAGAATAGCGACTTGAATGTTTTAGTTACCCTCGATTTTCTTGAAAAACGCAATATTCGTTACTAAGTATGTAGAGACAGAGAAGACTGCTAGATAGATTGTAATGAAATAAATAGGAATAAATAAAGAAGTCTATAAGTTAGCAGTCGATATGAACACAAAGTTAAGTAGAGCAGTCGACATGAACACAAAGTTAAGTAGAGCAGCCGGGATGAACACAAAGTTAAGTA